CAGAGAGAGAGAGAGAGAGAGAAGGAGAGACAGAGAGACAGACAGACAGAGACAGACAGACAGCGACAGACAGACGGATACAGACAGACAGAAACGGACAGACAGAGAGACAGACAGAGACAGAGAGAGACGGACAGACAGGCAGAGCCATAGACAGAGACAGACAGACAGACAGAGTCAGACAGACAGAGACACAGACAGAGACAGAGGCAGACAGAGACAGACAGAGACACAGATAAAGAGACAGAGACACAGGATGTGGCTCAGCCCGTGCGACGACGTTTAGAGACACCTGAACGACGAGGAAGGGTGCTGCTTATTTGTGTTGTAGGTGACGATTCGGGCTCCCTCGTTTGGCGAACGCCGAAAGGACTACTTGCGCGATATTGCAGTGGCAACAAACGCCCAACTTATATCGAAGGACTTGGGTCTACCGCTAGAAGATGCGACGGCTGAGCATATTGGCAGCGCCCAGGGAGTTGTTGTGAGGAAGGATAGAACCTCCATTTTGACAAGGCCCGAGTTCCAGGAACAGATCCAAGAGAGGTAAGCGGCAGTGTACGCGTTCATTTGTACCACATATTCCCTTTCCATTCGCTAGTCACGCTACGAGGACTATATACAGTGATTGCTTCTCGCCATTGAGTTTTTGCTCCAGAGTGCAGAGACTTCAGAGCGAAATGGAGGCGGCCACGTCCAAGTTCGACAAGGAGAAGTTAGGCGAGCGCATTGCTGCCCTGTCGGGAGGCATTGCGAGAATCATGGTAAGCTTTGTTCAAGCTAGATGGATGTTCCAGGGAAGGGCGTCTATGAGGGAGTGCTGGTTCTCCTACTCGCTGAGTTTCGGGGTAGCACATCGTCTGAATTGCAGTGGATGGAAGATGCGTACAGATTGGCGCATCTACGGAAACCGAACAGAAGGAGAAAAAGCTACGCTACGAAGATGCGATCAATGCAGTACGAGCAGCCATTGAGACTGGATATGTTCCCGGCGGTGGCGTCACATATCTCGCACTGAGTACAGATCAGTTCCGTAAGAAAGTCCTGGACGCAGTGGAGCAGACCGCCCGTGAGGAGATGAAGGGAGTCGACGAGTCAACGGGAGAGGAATTCCAAGTTGTTGGTAAGTTTCGTTTGACTTCAACCAGCGCCTTGTGGATTTGTTTTTAGATTTTCACTGCACTATGTGCCGGCCCTCACAGCGTGGTGTCGGCAAATTGTGTGGAGTGCGCAGAGGAAATGGAAAGCGAAATCGAGTTGCAGAAAGCTGGTGCTAATATTGTGGCGGACTCTATGTCATCTATTACGAAACAGATTGCATCTAACGCTGGTACGCTTTTCTAGACCAGGGTTAGAAATAATGCTTGCTTTGCATGCGGGTTTGTCGCTATCAGCAGTTCTCGTTGCGGCTCGTATTTTGCAGGATTGGATGGTGAACGCGTAGTCAACGCAATATTGAATGCGAAGAAGCCATTTGGGTTTGGCTGGAACGCTAAGACGAACAGGTTTGGAGACATGATCAGCCAGGGTGTCATCGACCCAGCGAAAGTGTGCATCTCTGCAATCGAGCATTCAACTTCGGTTGCCGGCCTTGTGCTCACAACGGAGGGCATGATGATTGAGGAGGAGCAAGAGCGGAATAAGTCTGTTTCTCATGAGGAGGGTGAGCTGTAGTGATATTGCTACAGCAGTTGCAGGGGTCTGTTCCCCTCTACCGCCAATGCAGTAGAGGGAAGCCTGAACAGGGGAGTTTTTTGCTTTTCCTAAAGGCCAAGTGCTCAAGCAAGTTGCTTGAGCTTCTAGTGCTGTGACGCCAGTGGCGTCGGAGCTTAGCGGATAGCAATCTCAACTGCAGAGACCTGTTTTAAGTAGTGGTTTGTGGGAGTTGCTGCACTGCCCTCCTCAACTTACTCCCCAACTCTGGTCGTATGGGTCGTCTGTCTCAATCTGTCTACTAAATTTGCCTTCCGTAATTATACAGGTAAACTGCCTTATGCTCTCTTACCGTGCTTCCAAATGAGACGGTGACCAATTCGTTTTCGTGAGGAACGATGACTTCTATCGGTGTGGAGAATTTCCCTTCACCAACAGGGCCTATGGAGTGCCAGTGATCGTCGGTGCATTTAATGTGCATCGACATACTAGTATGCATTTACCTCCACAAGCATTTACTGCTTTCTGTTCGAAGTCTTGGGAGTGTCTGAGGGCCATCGAATGATAGCACTCATAGATTGGCCTTAGGTGAAGAAAGCAAATACCTTTCAGTCCACGCGTATACAAGGCC